ATTTAAAAAAATGTTGAAAGTTTGTTTGATACATCAGCTGTTACCATTTCTTCAGACAACCTTTTCTTACTCTACTCCTATCTTCGTCCCCTCTCATCTCCATCCTGCCTCTCTGCTTAATCATTGCAGCAGAACTTCAAAATCATCACCTGTAACTTGTGTCAACTGTCCATCTCTCATTCTTTTTTTTTTTAAATCAGGTTTTGTTATTGTTGATAGTACACACAGCAAAACAAGCAACGCAGCAGCTTCTACATGCATGTTTCAGTGTCTTTGATTACATTCTTCTAGCTGTGTCAGCATTGTCCTCCTCCTTGTCTGAGCTGTTCCTCCTCTGTGAGCTACATTTACTGCCCCTTAACGTGCCTGTCTAATCTTTTGAGCTGCTGTTATCACTTTAATCCCATATAGGAAGTCCTTAGAAGAACATAGTGCTCAAAACAGACAATTTTAGTTAAGCTTAACTATTGCTTGGTATTAAGAAACTAATTTTCATAAATATACTCCATTCATATTTTCACTAACAGTGCCTTTGAAAGATTCTTGTCAGAATTTCAGGAATGCATTTCACTTTGCTAGATTCAGCAGTCAGTTTTCACCGGTCATCTTACTGGATTTATCGTAGATTTGATACAGACTCTTCTTGGTTTTTGGGCTGCCACATTTTTCCTATTTCCTCCTACTGAAATAGTTGTTCCTTATAAGTTGTCTTGCAGATTCATAATAAATGAGCCAATAAATAGTGCAGTAGCCAAAGATGATGTTTTGTTGCTTTTCTCTTTGCTTACCTCCCTCGCCAAACCTCATGACCTTAATAAATACTATCTACATGTAGATGCTTTTGAAGTTTTCACCTCCAATTCAGACTGTCCATTACCATCAAGTTGGCTGTGACTGGTAGTGAGCTGTGAATGGGACAGAGAAGCATTGTCTGTAGGGTTTCTGAAGTGATAATTCACTGTGGAAGCTGATCACCTCATTTTTCCTGTGGAGTAGCTGGTGGCATCTGGCCCCTGACTTTTTGGTTAGCAACTAAATTCTTTAACCACCATGCCACATATATCTGAACCTTGGACTCCTTTATTCAACTTTCTCCTTTGGATATATAATGGCAGAGCTTTGAACCAGTTCAGAGCTACTATCTTTGAGCAGGGCACTGCTGCCTGATTCCTACTCAGGTCAAAATCCAGCACCCAGGAGGTTAGTTGTTGTGTTTGGTAACTGCCCTCGTTTCCATAAGCTGTGGCCAAACCATTTTCAACTTATCTGAGGCTCTGCCTAGGAAACTTCTCACAGGTGATTGTCCAGAATCCAATCTTCAACCAACTCAGTACTTGTTCTTCAAGAAATATTTGAGCACAGCTCTATCCTTCCAGTAGTTCAGGACAAAACTATGGAGTCATCCTTGTCTCTTAGCTTTCTGACAAGAAATTTTGATTGTTTTAATTTCAGAATAAGTCTAAAATCCAGTCACATATAATTTGAGCCACTATCATATCTTTCCCCTCATCTCCTCAATCCCTAAATTACCTGTGGTAGCCTCCTAAGTAATCTTGCACTTTCCCTCCACCCTCTTGTGTTATGTGCACAGCACAGTAACCAGTGTGGTTTTAAAACCAATGCCATTCAGTGATGCACATGGACTAAAACCCTGTCTACAGTGGCCCAGAAGGCCCTAGTGCTCTGGCTCCATCACTTCTCCTCATGCCCTTAACCTCCTCCTCACTCTGTTCCAGCCCCACTGGCTTCCTCATCTACAGAGCATACCTATTTGGGTCCTCTGCACTGGTCCTTCTTTAGCCAGACAGTCTTTGCTCAAATGTCAGCTTCTTGGTAAGATGCCATATTATAGTCACACTTTCAATCCTCTTTATCCAGTTGGAGTTGATTTTTTTTTGGAGGCCCTGAGTTATTTAGTCCTTGGCTACTAACAAAGGTGGTGGTTCAGATCTATCCAGAGTTGCCTCAGAAGGTGGACCTGGCTACCATCAAATCTTACGGTACACATGTCTGCACTGATGCAGACGGGATCTCCAGGAGTCAGGATTGACTGGAAGGGAACTGGAGGCTATAATGTACTTAATAAATAAGTTATTCTTTGGAGTAAATATATAGTATTTACAACTAATTAACTTATTCTTTCAATTGGCTACTCATCATTGGCAGCTTTTGTTGGAGCTTCCAGATTGATTTAGGTTTGGAAGTAGGAATGACATTCACTTCCTAAACTATATGCCTATGGAAAGTCTAAAAATTTAGAGAAATGATAGTAGTTATATAAAGGCTTCAGGCCTATGTTCATTTTCTGTTTGTATATGTATCCTTCCCTCATGTGTACTCAGTCTATATGGTGGAAAAATCATTAAAGAAGTAAGACTCTAAGAAGAAACATGTAGCATCAGAATAGGAGGAGATTGAAGAAGCAGCAGAATGCTCCCAGATGGGCGTTTTTGGGTGGTGAGAGCCAATGAGAATGCATGATTATGGAGGGATTTGGAATGAAGGAGCTCATGAAGCTTGAACCATGCTCTGGTTCCTAAATTCTTAAAACAAGTTTGGAAGCAGGAATGGCATCTACTTCTGAAATAGCTTACCTTCAGCAACCCTATGAACCTGGAGAAAGGATGAAAGTTAAACAAGTGTTCAGGTCTTTCGTGTATAGGATCGATATGAGTCACCTACAACTTGACGGCATTTAACAACAACAACAACAACAACAATGTTCTTTGAATTTTCCAATGTCTCCTTGCTCTGTTCTGAAGACTGCCTCTTGGTCCAAGTATAGGTTTCGCATAAGCACAATCAAATGTCCTGGGATTCCCATTCTTCTCAGAGTCAGCCACAGCTTGTTGTGATCCATACAATAAAAAGCCTTTACATAGTCAATGGAGCACAGGTGGACATTCCTCTGGTACTCTCTGCTTTCTGCCAAGATCCATCTAACATTTGCCATAATATCCCTAGTTGTTGTTGTTATGTGCCATTGAGTCACTTGCAACTCATAGCAACCGTATGTACAACAGCCCTAAACTCTGCTCTGTCCTGTGCCAATCGCACTGTCTCTGACACTCCCATTCCTATTACCGCAGTCACTGAATCAATCCACCTCATAGAGGGCCTTCCCTTCCTACGCCATCCCTCCACCCTACCAAGCATGATGTCCCTCTCTAAGGACCGGTCTCTCCTTACAACATGTCCAAAGTATGTTAGACAGAGCCTCAGAATCCTTGCCTCCAAGGAGCCACCTGGTTTAACCCTTTCCAGGACAAATCTGTTTGTTTTCCTAGCAGTCCATGATATTCTCAGTACTCTTCTCCAGCACCACAGCTCAAAGGCATCAATTCTCCTTCTAGCCTCCTTGGTCATTGTCCAACTCTCTGATGCATAACAAGTGATTGTGAAGACCATGGCCTGTATCAAACACACCTTAGTCTCCAGAGAGACACTATTGCTCTTCAGTACTTTGGAGAGGTCCCTAACAGCAGACTTTCCCATGGCAATGCGCCTTTTAATTTCCTGGCTACTGGTGCCAAGAGTGTTGACTGTGGAGCCAAGCAAACCTACCTCTTCTAAACCCAGCCTGCACATCTGGCTGTTCTCTGTTGATGTCTTTCCCCAGTTGTTTTTGGATAATTTTCAGCAGAATCTTGCTTACATGTGATATTAATGATATTGTTTGATAATTTCCACACTCTGTCAGGTCAGTTTTCTTTAGAATGGGAACAAATATCGATCTCTTCCAGTTAGTTGGCCAAGTGGTTTTTCTCCAGATTCCTTGGCACAACTTAGCGAGCACATCCAGGGCAGCATCTGTTTGTTGAAATATGTCATTTGGTATGCTGTCAACTCCTGGAGCCTTGTTTTTTGCCAATTCTTTCAAAGCAACTTTAACTTCTTCCTTCATCAGTTCAGGCTCTTGCGTTCTTTTAATGCATCTTGGATCACTTAACACTCTACCCAAAGCATCCTTAAATATTGCCACTCATGGCTTGAATTTGTTTTTCAACTCCTTCAGCTTATGAAATGTTGAATTTGTTCAGCCCTTTTGATTTTCTGACTCCAGCTCTTTGCACATTTCATTGTAATATTTTGCTTTGTCGTCCTGAGCTGCACTTTGAAATTTTCTGTTCAGCTCTTTAATTTCTTCCTTTAGCTTTGGCTTCTTGGCACTCGAATACAATATTTAGAGTTTCATCTGACATCCATCTTGGTCTTTTATTCCTCTTCAGCCTTCTTAATGATCTTTTGCATTCTTCATGGAAAATATTCTAGATATCCTCCCACAGCTAATTTGGTCAATGCTCATTGGTGCTCAAGGCCTCTAACCTATTCCCGAGATTGTTTTGAAATTCGAGTGGGACAGACTTAAGGTCAAATTTTGGTTCCCGTGGTGGCTATGAGTCTCAAGCAACTCGACAACACATAACAACAACAAGAAGTTATTCTTTATAATAAATAGTATTAATTAATTAATATAGGGAGCTCTGGTGGCCTAATAGTAAGAAGCTGTGCTGCAGTCCCAGAGGTGCCCAGTTTGAATCCACCAGCAGCTGTGCAGGAGGAGGATGGTCTTCCTCTGGTGTGATTTACTGTCTCTGAACACTCACTGGAGGGTCATCTATGGGTTGGTTCTTACTCGACAGCACACAACAACATAATATAATAAATAAGTTATTCTTTGTTGCTATTGTTCATCTTTCTTCAGTATCATCTCAGAAAGCAGAGATTATCTTCCCATTTTGTTCTTTGATGGTTTCCAGGTACCTAAAATAGTGCTTGAAATACTACTAAATAAATACATAAACTGAATTAATGCAGGGTTGAATAATCAGGCCATGCACATTAAAACATTTACTCATGATTTTATAGTTGTATTTTTTAAAAAAAATAAGATCAATAAATGAAAAAAGAATTTTTAAAATAAATCAAGTAAATGTTTAGCTCAAGATTTCCTTTGAAGAAATAAGTTTCAAATTGACCTTCTTTTTCTAAATTTTCAGCTTCAGTTGTAGAAGGTCAAAAAGGTATCATTCCTCGAGCTATAGAAGAAATATTTGAAAACATCTCTGAAAGTCCTAACATTGACTTTAATATAAAAGTATCTTACATAGAAGTGTACAAGGAAGAACTAAGAGATCTGCTAGAACTGGAGACATCCATGAAGGATCTTCACATCCGAGAAGATGAAAAAGGAAATACAGGTAAGGTATTCTATATAGACAGCCTTTTAAAACAAATAGATGTAACTTAATGAATTTTTCTGGATATGAATTTAAACGTAGACTTAGAAGCAAAATAAATTTCCCCCCAAATTTGTTTTAACTTTTCAATTGAATCGCTTCTTTATTAACAATATCAGTTAAATTACTCAGGAAAAAAAAAGTAGATGGCCAGTCTGATTAATAAGGTAAAGAAGTTATTAATCTGTAATTGAGGTTTTGTTGGTGGTGCTCCCAGGGCTACACACACTCACAGTGACCCTGTGAATGACAGAGCTGAACTTTGCTCTGTCCTGCATCCTCCTCACACTTTCTTACTTTTACTGACCCTCTGTCTTTCCCAGTATCTTGTCTTTTTCCAAGGACTGAGCTCTCCTGATAACATGCCCAAAGTATGTGAGATGAAGTTTCTCCATCTTCACCTCTAAGGAACACCCTGGTTGCAAGACAGATTTGTTTATTTCTTTAGCAACCCATGGTATGTTCAGTACACAACAATTAAAAGACATCTGTTTTTTAGTCTTCCTTATTCATTGCCCAATATTCAGATGTATACAAAATAATTGGAAATGCCCTGGCATGGATCAGGCCCACCTTAGTGGACATCATTGCCCTTTAGCACTTTAATGAGACCCTTTAGAGTAAAGTTAATGATGCATTATAATTATATTTCTTAAGGACAGCCTTTGTTGTTGTTGTTGTGCCATTGAGCTGGAACCAACTCATAAATGACCCTCCAGCAGGTTTTCTGAGGTAGTTAAGTCAAATAGGAGGAGATTGCTCATCCTTCTGCAAAACATCTGGTAGATTTGAACTGCACGCTTTTGGGACTGCAGCACAACTTCTTAGTAATAGACCACCAGAGCTCCTACTAAAGGATCGCCTTAGTAAGACTGTAAAGTAGACTGTATTTTCGTTTCCTCCCTGACCTCCCCTTAGACTGGTGGTAGCTTCCCTCTGTTCATTCAGATTGATCTAGAATTTTCCATTCTTCCTTTAGATTTTTGTCCTAATACACCAATTTCTTTTTCTCACCTTCTCTTTAATTATTTGGTACCTAATAATAGTACAACATAAAAAAATATTCATCATAGAACTTTTGGAAAACATGTTGGAAAAGCAGAATAATTTTTCATTTCAGAATGTAGATAAGAGCAATTTATTTTTTCTTCCAGATTTTTTTCTATGTACATATAGTGTTAACTGTAATTTAAAAAAAATCTATACATGCTGTGACTTGCCAACATATAACAACTACTTTGTATACAGTTTACATCCAATTTTTCAACTAATATTTTAAGCATTTTCACGTCATTAAACATTTTTAATATTTATTACTTAAAAATTCCACTAAAGAGCCAAGAAGTCAAAGAAAAGGGAAGAAATCAACATATTAAGGAGTTGAACAGAAGATTCTAAAGGGCAGCACAGGAAGACAAAGTAAAGTATTACAATGAAATGTGCAAGGAGCTGGAGTCAGAAAATTAAAAGAGCCGAAATTGTTCAGCATTTCTTAAGCTGAAGGAACTAAAGAACAAATTCTAGCCTCGAGTTGCAATACTTATGGATGCTTTGGGCAGACTATTAAATGATCCAGGAAACATTAAAAGAAGATGAAAAGAGTATACAGAGTCATTGTACCAAAAGGAATTGGTAGACACGGAAAAATTTCATCAAACAACATATGAGCAAGAGCCTGTGGTAATAAAGGAAGAAGTTCAAGCTGCTCTGAAAGAATTGGCAAAAAACAAGACCCTGCAAATTTATGGCATATCGATTGACATATCTCAAGAAACAGATGCTTATGCATCTAAGAGCTGGACAATGAATAAGGATAACACAACAATTGATGTATTTCGAGTTGTGGTGCTGTACTTAATACACTATGAACTGACAAAAGACCAAACAGATATGTCTTTCAGAAGTTGCAGCCAGAATACTCCTTGGAAGCAAAATGATAAAGCTTCATCTCTCATACTTTAGGCATGTTGTTAGGAGAGACTATTCTTTGGAGAAAGACATCATCCTCAGAAAGGTGAGGGGATGCCATAGAAGAGGAAGACCCTCCACCAGAGGAATTGACACAGTGACTGCAGCATTCAGAGTGTGTCAGAGAATGTGAGGTTGGCACATGATAGGACAGGGTTCAGATCTGTTGTTCATAGGGTTGCTATGAATCATACTCAATTCGTCAGCACCTAACAACAACATTACGTAGCAGATTCTTCTTTTTTTTATTATTAAATTTTATTAGTTTTAATGAACACTTACAGGGATTTTGGGTTTTCATTCCTTCATTGCTGCACCATTCTCTCTACCCTCCTCCCCAGTTTGTTCTTCTT